TAGGGGTTTTCTGCTCTTCTTTTTCTTAAGCAACTTGCAAACCACAAGAGGTCAGGCCTACCAGAAATAAAAGCCTGTGTTTTCATTTTTCTCCATGTCTATCATTGATAGGAAACTTGAAAACTTCCCAATGCCAAAATATTAAAACTTTTAAAAGGCAATGAAGACACATTTAGCTTATGAGATTATCATTTCTAACAGAAATTTCTTACTCCAAGTATGATATAAATGTCTATTTTTCACAGACATGGGCTTTAGAGGAAGGTGAATTTTGGCAGCCTGTCTCCTTGGGTTGGTTTGCTGTCAGTTCTCTGGAATCACCTTGTGCTTTAAAGCCAGAAAGCATCAGGGACTTGTTCTAGGTCAGGGAGGGAGAAGGCTATTACTATGTCTTTAGTAGAAAAAGCTGGAGGGAAAAGGTGGAAGCTTACTCCAGAATTTTTACCTTTTCAGAAGTGGAGAGAAAATATCTGAATTAATAATAAAAAATGACTCTAATTTTCAAGCTCCCTCCCTCACAAATATATAAATTGGAAATAGAAAGAGACACACAGAGATTAAATGAGTACAGTACAGAGGTTTTTCCAGAGGAAAAAATCCAAAGCCCAGTGAGAAAGCTGATCTTTATCTGAACAATGTCAGGAAATCTGCCTTGATCTATATCACTGTGTCTCATGTCTTGCTCAATGAGAGGATGGCACTGATCTATTTACAGAGTGACAGATTTCTTTTGACACACTACAGAGCTCTGGCCATTCAGTTTCGATGGGCTAGAAAACTCATGGAATAGCTCAAATATTCTGAGCCAGTACAAACTGACAACCTAAATTCTCCCCCCTCTCTCTCCTCTCTCTCTCTCCTGAATCCAGGGCCTTTGCACTGAGAAATATCCCTGGCCCTTTATTTTTAATTTTTAAAAAAAATGTTTAGACAAGGTCCTACTAAATCTCTAAGTTGCCCAGGCTAGGCTTGAACTTGGAACTCCCTGCCTCAGCCTCTTAGAATCTTGAAATTACAGATGTGCACCATCATGCCTGGGTTAAATTTCTTGCCACAGTATCATGGTCCAAAACAAAAACAAAAACAACAAAAACTTCTCTCCAGAGGGGTTAAGGCACCAAGTTCCTTTCTAATAAATTTCAAACTATCTTTCTGGATGAGATGAAACCAAAACAACACTTTGACTGTTGGTGGTGTAGTGTAATGGTTAAAGCACATGGACTTCATAGTCAGTGATCTGGGTTCACATAACTGTGCCATTGCTGTGGTTAGAGGTCTGTGTACCTCCTTGTGCATATGTTTAAATCCTAACCCCTGAAGTGACGGTATTAGGAAATAGGGATCTTTAGGAGGTGATTAGGTCATAGGGCATAGTCCTCATGAATGCAGTTAGTGCCTTTTTTTTTTTTTTAGTTAGTGTCTTTATAAAAGAGACTCCTGAGCATTCTCACCCTTTCTATGAGGTGAGGACCCAGGAAGAAGGTGTCACCTACAAGGCAGAAAGTAGACCCATAACAGGCAATGAAATTTACCTTGATCTTGGTCTTTGCAGCCTGCATAACCGTGAGAAATAAACTACTGTCGTGCATAAGTCACCAGTCTAAGCTATTTTGGTACAGCAGCCCAAATAAGTAAGATAGCCACGTCAGGCTCTTTAGTCTTTGGCACGTGACTTCGCCTCTCAACCTCAATTATCTTACATGTACAGTGAGGTTCTTTATGGCAACTTCCTCAGAGACATGCTGTGAGGGTTATGTTATGCGATGCCTGCAGAGTGCTTAGCACAGTATCTGGCAACCAATAAATATGCAATAAGTGGTAGCTATGATAATAATAAAAATATTACATGATTATGTCCCACCAAAAGCTCAATTTAATGAATATTTGCTAGGCAGTACTATATACCAGACATTAAAAAGTGAGCCTTTACCATGCATCAGATAATGCACTAAGTGCAGGGGAGAGCTGTAAGCAAAATAAGTCCCTTTGGAATCTTGAGTGTTGGGGAGAAAAGGGACAAGAAAAAGAAAAAAGATGACCTTATCGGTAACTTATAAAATGAGAGGTTATCAGAGTTTCTCAGGATCCTCAAAAATTGCATCAGGTGATTTACCCCTTGTTCAACTCTCTCTGGAACAGGAAAATCTTCTCTTTCTCACTGCTGGGTGTTCTGGAACCTCATCTGCATCTCAGCCCTGCTCCAGTTCTCAGGTCCCACCTTGACCTAAGACAGGGGACGACTGGCTCCAGCCCTATAGAGAAAGGCTGAGGTTCAAGTTGCCTTGCTGCTTATCTGGCTGGTGGACATTGTCCCAGTTTTGATACCTGGGGCCCAGCCTCATTTTAAGCCTTAGTTCCCTTTCTGTGCCCTTATTTTTAGAAATGAGTTTTTGCCTTTGTGCTTCTTCCAAAAAACCTGTTCCAAAAACTTATTGAGTGACCCCAGAACTCTCATTATTGGAGAACTACAGTCTATAATTGCTGGTTCCTGTCTCAAGCACTAGTTCTTTTCTTTCTTTCTTTTTTTTTGTTTTGCTTAAATTCTTTTATTGGTAGTAGGTACACAATACATTTACATTTATCATTGGGTGCTTGTACCTGTACATGATGTATCTTGGTTCTTATTTTTTTCCCTATTACCCGTGCGCCCTTCACCCCCTCCACCCTTCCCTATTTTCATAGGCTTTGTTTCCATTTTTTCTTTTCTCATAATTTTTCCTTTCCCTTCTTTCCTTTCCCCTGCCCCTCCCACTTCCTCTACCCCTTTGGACCATTTCTTCCTATTTCAAATTATCAATTATTTGTTTTAATCATTTTTTACACTTTCACTTTCTCACACTAGAGAAACTATTTGGCATTTACCCATGTGTGTCCTATTTATTTCACTTAAGAGTATGGCCTCAGTATGCATCCATTTAGCTATAAATGTCTCTAGTTTCTCATTCTTTATGGCTGAGTAGTACTCCATTTTGTAAAAAAACCACATCTTCTTTATCCAGTTTCCAGTTGATGGGCACTTGGGCTGTTTCCAAGCTTTAGCTATTATGAACTGTGCTACTATAAACATGGGTTCACATATATCACTGTGGTATGATTCTTTTAATTCTTTTGGGAAGATACCCAGCAGGGGAATAGCTGGGTCGAATGGGACCTCCAGCCCTAGTTCTTTGAGGTATCTCCATACTGATTTCCACAGTGGTCGCACCAGTCTGCACTCCCACCAACAGTGGAGCAGGGTTCCTCTTTCCCCACAGCCCTGCCAGCATTTGTTATTGGTTGATTTCTTGATAGCAGCCATTCTTTCTGGAGTGAGGTGGAATCTCAGCATTGTTTTCATCTGCATCTCTCAAATGACCAGTGATACTGAACACTTTTTCATATGTTTATTTGCTATTTCTACTTCTTTGTCTGAGAAATGTCTGTTCATTTCAGATGTCCATTTTTGAGTTGGGTCTTTGAATTTGGGGCGGTGGGGAGTCTGATTTTTTTCAGTTACTATTCCTTTTCTTGAACCTCAATCCAAGAGATAACCTGGATGTTTGCTTCTTATCAGCTAAAACTTTTCAGCATGCCCATCCCCTGAATTCCTCTGTCTTCTCCTCACCTGTTTTTCAGACAGCACAGAGGTAAATGAAAACAGCTGAAAAAGACTTTTCCCATAGACAAGTTCCCCAACCATGTCACTCTCTATGCTAATCTTGGGATCCAATCATTGCAAATAAACCTTGTCTGTTAGCACTAAACCTCTGCCATCACAACCTGTACTTAGATTAGTTTCCTAGTGAGTGGTTCATCTAATGGTCAATTCTTATATCCTATTCTTCTTATCTTTATATAACTTGTTGGATGACTTGAGATCTGATATTCCCAATTAGAGGCCCAAACCATTTAAAACTAAGTCACCAATGCTCTCTGAAAATACCACTGTGCACCATTTTAAAGCCCTAATTATTAATATTCTTTTGCTTTTGGCTGATGACCAAACATTTGGTAGAGCCCTTCTGTCATTCATTCATTCATTCATGTATTATACATTTTTCCTATGTTCCAGTTTCTGGGATATTGAAATCAATCAAACATGTCTTCTGTCCTCAATAAGTTCACAGTCTAATAGTGAGGCTTAACTTACACATAGGTCTGTACAGTATAGGTGTAGAAATACTACATGAATGCTGTAAGTACTACAAGGAAGCAAAACACAGGATTCCTGAAAGAGGTATTACCTCTGAGTTCTGGAGAATAAGCATGTGGTCATAGATGGCTGAAAAGAGGCAAAAATACTTCCAGCCATACTGGAAGAGTTTAATACCTTAAAGAAGGGAACACCTCATGCTCTGCTATAGCTGGAACACTGGGTAGGGAGGGAGAAGTTTAAAAGATGAAGCTAGAGAGGTGGGCAGGTGCTAGAATATGAAGTGTCTTATTTGCCATGCTAAAGAATATGACTTTTAAAGTACAAAATTTCAGTAATATGGATATCTGATTTGTCAAGGTGAAAACAGAGGTAAGGAAACCAACTAAAATGACTGACAACGGTGAAAATCTTAACTGAGGTTATGGGGATGAAGAGTATGTCTAGATTTGAGAGACTTAAGAATAGAATGCACAGGACATTGTTACTGACTAGGTATGAGAATAACAATAAGGAAAGATGGTAGGGTTGCTTAGGCAGAGTTGCTCAGGCAGCTATGTGGGTGGATGATTCTACTGCATGAGACAAGGAACACAGAAGGAATAAATCTTCAGTAGAGGGCAGGCTGTGCTTAATGTTGCCAAATAAAGTCCCCCAATTCTATTTTCCATTTAGTGAAATAATTGTGTTGCCCAAAGATGCTATGGACAACCTACCCTTTTAAATTCCAGCTATAGAAGAAAACCTTTTTCCTTATAGACTATATGAACACTATACAATTGGATAAATGTTGCACTTTAAAAATTCCTATATTCTTTTTAATTGTAAAACATAAAGATGAATGAAAACACAGTAAAAAAATACTTACCCCGTAGACAAGCTCTCCAACCATGCCATTCCATATTTTAGTCTCTGGATCCCTAGCACCGTATTTCCCATCACCAACAATGGACAATTTGTATTTGATCCTTACATGTTTGGCGATTTCATATGCTAAATCTACACAATAGCCTTCATATCGCTCATTTCCCTCCAGTTGCTCATGGTTCTTCTTATACATTACATATGGTGATTCCTTCGAGACCAGAAAGAAATTCAAAATATTACTCCTATCCATTTTTTCAAAGAGAATTGAAGTATAATGAAATTTTTTTCCTTGGTGGTTATTGAGGTTGATATGTGTAACAGATCTTTACAATTTTTTACTTAATAAGCAAAACAGCCTCAGTTGACTATTCAGTGGGCCACATATTCCTTGTTGTCCTTAAATGATGACTTAAGAAATAGAGAAAAATTTAACTTCTTTTTGTGAGTTTGAAAGAAGGACTAGTTTTCAACTGTAAAGTCTTTGATTTAGTCCAATTGGGCACAGATATATCTCTTAGTTACATGAATGTAAACTGCCTTTGATTTCTCAAGATTTACTAGATAGGAACCACAGTCAGCTGACAAGCCATCCGGAAATGCTGTGGTCTTTAAGGTCAGGGTTGTAGCTTATTCATTTTTCTATCTTCAAGACCTAGTACAGTACTTAGGACAAGGTGAGTGTTTGATATACATTCAAGTCAAAGGTCAGCCTTAGCCAAGTCTCCATTTAGTTAATCAATTTCATATCTAATACAGACCAAGTTTCAGACTTGTTTTTAACCCCAGCTTTATTTCATTCAATAATAAAAACAGCTTCTAGAAAAATATTTAAAAACCAAGAATGCTGTCTCACATTTTAACAGTGCTTTGAATTTTTTTGTTTTGGTGCTGGGGATCGAAACAGTGCTTTGAATTTTATGGGAAACATTTATATGGCGAACTGTGCTTTGAAATGATCTTATTCCATAGGCAGATTATTATTATGCCCATTCCAGAAATTTAAAAGCAACAACCGAGGCTCAGAGAAGTTATGACTTGCACAGTTGTACAGCTTTGTAGTAGATCTGATATTAGAGCCCTAATTCACTCCCTCCTCTTCACTGTGCTGCCTCTCTCACAATGAGGAATTATATTTCCAGTCCAGATGAAACATCAATGTTATGGGGAATATGGCAGGAATAAAGAGGGGAGTGATACCGGAAACAGTTGAAAATCCTTATCCTTTTCCTTTCTTTTTTAAAACAGCATTGTGTTCATCACCATGGGAAAATAATTTGAGTGGTTCCTGAGCTTCCCTGTTGGAAATTTTCACTACTTGAACTTGAGGTGTTTTCTACTGGCTGAATAATGCTTTTTAGAAAATAGAAGCCTTGCTATACAGAAAGTCTACTTATTCTCTGTCCACACTTACCAGAATGGTCGTCACTACTATGGTCCTGTTCTCTGAGGATGCACTGTCATTGCTGATTTGCTGATCCGAGAAAGGTACAAACCTCTCATACTCATTCCAGTAGCCAGCCTAGAAAGAGCAGAAATTTGACCTGGATGCCTATTTTTTGCACAGAAAGAACTGCATGAAATTCAGCTATTGTCCAATAAAACTTGTTTTCTCCAACTAGTTCAAGCTTTGGAAGGACTGATATCCTGTTTTCTTCTGGCCTGCCACTCCTATAAGACTCAACATTGACACACAGATGTGCTGTTCTTTCATCCTGGGGTTCCCATCCCCACCTCAACCTACTGATATTACATAAAATAATTTAGTTCTTTCTTAGATAATTGGCCTTCCCCATTTAAACTCCTGTAGGAGAAAAATACATTCTTTTTTGTACAAGGGATCAAACGCAGGACCTTGCACTTTCGAGGCAGATGGCAGAACCACTGAGCTAAATCCCTGGCCCAAAATACATTATTTTGAACTGTAGGAAACATGGGAGGTAGAGATAGGAAGCCAGTGATTATCCTGTAGATATGACACAAGATAGTTTATGTTCTGTGGTTTTATCAACTAAATTCCTAAAACAACTAAATTCCTACTTCAAGCCTAACTCAACTACTACTAAGATAGAAACAAACTAGTCATATAATAAAATTCAGCTATCAAGAAAGGTATTTTTCTAGTCTTTTTGGTGGGTGATTTGGCAAAATGGAAGGATTTCTATTTTTCAAATAATTTTTTGACTAAAACCATATGTACTTTGGAAGCTTCTGTTTAAATACTAACATGATATGTTTTTTGTATCCTAGGTAGTTCTTGCCTACCCTAAATTCATAAACATTTTCCCTTATAATTTCTCCTTAAAGTTTTATAGTTTTAGGCTTTCATATTTAGGTTCATAGATCTTTTCAAGTTATTTTTATGTATGGAAATAAAGGGTTGAGGTTAATTTTTTATATGCGGATACCAGGTGTTCTAGTGCCATTTGCTGAAAACACTGTCTTTTCCTCTGTTCTTGAATTGAGTTTATATTCTATAAAATGCTAATGTTAAATAATCTTTCAAAACTCCATGGACCATATATGTGTGGTTCTATTTCTAGATTTTCTGTTTTATTCCAATAATCTATAAGTCTTTCCTTACACCAACATTGCCTTGATTATTGTAGGTTTAGAAGAAGTCTTAAAATTAGGAACTAAACTTATTCCAGCTCTGTTTTTTTTTTTACTTTTCTAGGTCCTTTGTACTCCTATATAACTTTTAAATTTCAATATCCAATTCTTCATTTATAGCAAGTATACACAGACCTGAATTTTTATATATAACTTGTGTTTTCGAATCTTGCTAAATTCAAATACAAGTTTTAGGGTCTCCTAGAGATTTCTTAGTATATTCTCTGTAGATGATTATTTCATCTACATACAAAGATTTTGTTTCTACCTTGCCAATCCTATCCTAATTGTGTCATTTTAATGCTAGACTATTTTGGTTTGGGCCTACTTTTCAAAGTTTAACGGACAGATGAAGAGTAGGCATATCTGCCCTTGTTCCCCACCTTAAGGAGAAAGCATTGTATCTTTTCCATTCATATAAGGTGTTTTCGCTGGAAGTATGGAGTACATGTCTTTAATCTGTTGAGAAGGTTCTGTTCTACTTCTAGTCTCCTGATAGCTTTTAGCATGAACAGCTGTAGAATTTAGTCCAATTCTTTTTCTCCAACTAGTGACAGGATCATATGGCTTTTTCCTTTCCTCTGTTAAAATGATGACTCTTGGGGGTGGATCTTCCAATGCTGAACCAACACTACCAGCCCTATAATAAAACCACTTTCTACATCCTGCCAGATCTGACTTCTAATAGTTTGTTTTATTAAACAAATTTCTATCTATGTTCATACTTTTTTCTTCTATTATCTTTATCCAGTTTTAGGATTAGCACAATGTTGATTTCCTAAAATGAGGGGAGAAGTGTTCCTTTTTTTTCCTGCTTTAAATGTTTGATATAATTTATCAGTTAAAATGTATATGATCCTGTTGTTGTCATATAGGTATGTTTTCAAGCTAGGAATATACTTTCCTTAATAGGTGGTGCTATTCAAATTTTATATTTCCTCCAGAGTTAGTTTCATTAATTTGTCTTCCAAGGTACTTCTTAGAAGTTGTCAAATTTATTTCAAAACAGACTTTTGAAATATGCTTTCTATATCCTTTTAAATTCTATAAAATCTGTGGCAATGTGTCCTAGGTCTTGATATTTTAATTTAAAAAATGTATAATTGGTATTGTGTAATAGGAAGTAAAGGTCTAAAGGAGCTGGGGAAGTGGGAGGAGTAGGGGAAAGGAAAGAAGGGAAAAGGAAAAATATGAGAAAAGGAAAAAAAAAGGAAACAAAATCTTTGCAAATAGGGAAGGGTGGAGGGGGTGAAGGGAGGGCAGGGAAAGGGGGAAAAAAATAAGAACCAAGGTACCCATGTAATGGTACAAAATCCCAATGATATATGCAACTGTATTTTATACCTAAAAAGTACCAATAAACTTTATGGGGGAAAAAATAAATACTAACATGATATAAAATTTGTGATTCCTTCCCTTTATTGTAAGAAGCTGTTAATACACTCACAAGTCTATCACTTTTGTAGGACCAGTCTTGAAAACTATCTTTTAAAATGGGTGAATTGATCCTTCTGATTACAAACAATTCTGTGCATCTTATCAATCAAAAAGGCAAAAGTCATGTGTGGGAGTTTGTGTTTCCTACCACCCATTTTCTTGAATCTGAGTAGTGTTACCTTCTGAGAGACTTCTTTGAACGCTTGTTTTGGTTACTCACTTTCCGAGAGCCAGTGACCTTCATTTCATACACATCGATGGTATAATTTGTCCTACGTCCATAAGTGTCAAACTGAATGTTTCCAGTCATTCCTTGTACTTGTACCTGTAAAAAGGAGAAATATAAAATGTTAAAATAGCACTGCATTCTTGTTTTGTATATCTTTGGGATGAAATCTACAGACAGATCTTGATATCACGGAGAATATTTTCCCAAATCATTGAGCTCTATCTACCAGATCAATTCTACACAGCTCTTCATTTCCTGTACAGTATTTCCTCAGTACGCCTTTTAGTTATGAAGCTTTGAGTGGATATGAGAGACAGCTACCTATATGATACAGTGAGAGCCCTACCACCACTTTTTCAAAGACCTGAAATTTCCATTAGTTCCATCTTAAGAATACCCTTCAGGCTATTCTCTGAACTAGATTAATACATTCTTCTAAATTATAAATTCCCTGGGGGCCATGGCTGTGTCTTACCTTAGTATTTCCAATACCTCAACATAATCTCATTTCAATAACATGAGCTCTGGAGCTCCTGGATTCATGTCCTAGCTTTATCACTTACTAACTGGTTGACTTTGGGTATATTCCTTAGTGCTTTCAAAAAGTCTCAGTGCTGTAATCTGTTGTATCCTTCAGAGTGGTTGAGAGGATTAAATGAGTTACAAATATGTAAGGTATAAAACAGTGTCTGGTGTGTACTAAGCATTGCAATATCTGCCGGCTATCTATGTTAATTATTATTATTAACCAAAAGGGATTTTTACTGTTTCTTAAATGGATTACATATTTGCCAGCTACTTCAGTGACTGGAATGAGCTTTACCTCTCAAAGGTACATATGCTAGGGTAAGAAAGCAGAGAGCTAAGCCGTGGAGGGAGAATCCCTACTGACAAAATTTGTTAAATGTGTCGGGTCAGGAATATGGTGCACTAGAGGTACTGGAAGAGAGGTACTGGAAGCCTAAACACTTGTTTGGGATGCCAAACACAGATTTTATATATTTCACAATATATATTTCCTGAGTCTGAGCCCAGTATTTTGAGCTAATAAGGGGCCACCTCTGTCGAATGGAGAGATTTCCTCATCTGTTTTACAGTTCAGACACTGGATGAAAGACCCTTTATAGATATGTCATTACTTGCATTACTCACCTAGCGAGTCAAGGTCAAAAGCTTTGCTTAAAAAAAAAAGAAGACGCCTTGTTTTCATGGGATGAAGGGGAGAATATGTTCTCCCTTCCTTATAGAAAATGACAAGCTGTGAAACAAGTCAGAGGTGGTATGGTAATGGGCTTGTACTGCTGAAGGGAAAATTGATGTCAAATGTTCAGGAACATTTTTTAAAGTGGAGAAAGCTTGCTCACCACCAATAGGAGACTGTGGAATTCCTGTGTCCTCTAATGTGATTAACTAAAAACAAGTCCATCTGATCCAACAAGCCTAAGCACTACTGTCGGCACTGGCTTGTGGAAAAAGTGAAATCACATTTCTAGTTAAATAAAAAAAGCTTAGTTGAGATAGAAATTACTTATCCAGTAAGATGGGACAGATGCATGAAAAGTTCTTCATATTCCATTTTGAACACTGAAATCCAGGAGAGGAGTTAGGCAGGACAGAGACAATGACATAGGAGATTATTAAGGAAACCCTTCATTACTGAAAATACTAAAGGCTTCTAAGTCTCACTAAGAATCATATACTTCTAGAGACTTGGCTTATTTGAATATGATTTATGAAGTGGAAAGTCAAGATATGTCTAAGAGATTTCAAACCCCATAATTTAAAATTTTGGTGAGGGTCAGGGATTTAGCTCAGTGGTACCGCACCTGCCTTGCAAGCTCAAGGTCGTGAGTTCGATTCCCAGTAACCCCCTGTCCCCCCAAAAATGTTTGGTGAGGAGAAGTAGAATTGAATGACCACTCAAAGAGAAATCTATTTTTTTTGTTTTTGGTTTTTTTGGTACCAGGGATCGAACTCGGGTCCTTGCACTTGCGCAGCAGGCGGCGAAACCACTGAGCTAACTCCCTGAGCCGAGAAATCTATTTTTAAGGTATTGAATGTCACTGACAGTTTTCCCAAAACCCATCTGCGATCCTTTCTTTAATTCATACCACCCTGTGTATCATCATATTTTAATCTCCTATGTATTTCTGGCTCCACAACTAGATTTGGAGCATCTCAAAATGACCGACATTCTTCTTCTGTAATCTCCAAAACTAACACAGTGTCTGGGATATTGCAAGTGTTCAATACATCTTTATTAAACAAATATTAATAAGTTAGGAGCTGTGACAGATATCTCAGCAAAGTATGCTCAAGCTCTTCTTGAACTATTTGCAGATTGTGAGGAGAATGGTTACCCATTTTCAAGTGGCTTTAAGATATTTTAAAGCATTGGTTTACATATTAACAATTTAAATGTGCACTCTTTTCATCTTATTTTTGTTATTATTTTTGCATCTTATGTTTGTTACTAATATGGAGGCTGATACATAGTCATAGGTGCTCAATAAATATTTATTGAATGAATGATGTGACTATATATTCATCAAAATAGTCCCTTTAGGTGTCTCTATCAGGCAACAACTTTGTTTGCTAGATTTCTTTGATGAAAGAGAATGATTTACTGTGAAACAGCGATGTGCTAGTGACATGACAGATGCTTCTACATCATGCAATCTCATTTTTAATTAGCTCAAGTAAAAAAGAGATTTCTTTTAATGTAGTACAACATTTAGTACTTAGAGCAACCTAACCTGCAGTTCTTCTGAATAGTGTGGTTTTACTTGGGCACTTTTGGAAACGCTTCATGCTTTCCAGACCCTTTGGAACAATAAAAAAGACTGGCCTGTAGGAAACGGTGAAAGATCTTTCTGCTTGAGTGTTGGAATCATTAAAGCCTAGGGAAGAAAGTTACTTACCTAGCTTATAGCTTGAGCTTTATCAGTGAGCTAGACATGCAGGAAATTTTATGTTCAATAGTGTGATCAATCTCATTTTTTTCTAGCCAAATTAATTTTTCATTCTTTATTCTAGTGGCTAGCTTTCTACTTGGGGAAGGTAGTTTTTGTGCCATGAATGGATAGTCAATTGGAGATGCTGGCTCTTGCACCTTGAGGTTTTGTTGATGAAAAATTCTTTTGATTAACTCTGAGGGAGTTCTATATTTCACTCACCAATATATTTCACCTGACAATACAAATCTTATAACTGCTCTGAAGGTTGAATTTAATTAACTACTCTTGAAAATTGTGCAGTGCTTGCTACCTCCATAAAACTACACTTAGGGCATTTGTTAGGGAACTGACATAATGACATAAAAACCTACATGATGGGAGAATGAGTCATATCTCTTTCTTGGAGAGAGACACAGGGCTACTAACCCCTTTTGATTGAATGCTTCCAACTTGGCAAATTTAAGGCAGCAGTAAGAGAGCCAACTACATAAAATGATGTATGTTATGAGGCCATTACAAATTCTTGGTTACTGGGTTGTGAGGATTATCTTATCATTGTCTATCCCTTTATTCATTTGGATGTCCCAAACATCATGATAATTAAGTAGAAAGAAGAGATTCTTGTACTCTTGAAGGCTCATTTTAATGTATGCAGGCACATGTGGCAGGCATAAAGCAAAATATTCAGGAAAGAGCTCTTGCTTGGAAATCTGCAATGAATGGGTGATGCTGCTTCTTGTGTAAATAATGGAATCTGTTCAAAGGACACTGCTTGAAGCCTTAAATGATCTCCTACCCAGTAAATACTAAAAACAAGTGACCTATTTGATAGTCTAGCCATTGAATCCTTGTACTTTTCTTTAGGCTTTTTCTTTGTGGTATTGGGCAAAAGCCTTTAGGCCTAGAAATGTATCATGTTCTTCCATTCTATCATGCAGAATAGTACGATTGTTCTTTCTGACAACAAAATACTATCACACTGGCTCAGTTCCACAGTCTATTCAGGCAAGTAATTTGTCTGATGTGGCCAAGGATGCTGTTGTCTTTTGTAATGTCTGTCTTGGTTAGGAGCTTCTTATAAAATATCACAATCTCAATAAGAGATGTCATATTTCTGGAACATTTGAATTTTTGAAGCTATTTACATATTCAAGATGTAACTGTTGGGGCTTCTGAATTTCATTTACTATCTGTACTACAACCCAGGACCAAAGATTCATTTGCTATAAATTTACCATTTTTTCAGACCTCAAGATTGAACCCCCTATGTTTAGATTTCTAGATCTCTATGAATAAATATCTATGTTCACCTTGTCCATATACTATGAGATTCTACAGATTCTGATTCTATTCTTTTTAGTATGTCTTCTTTCAATACCGAGGTCTCAGTTTTTGAGTGTCTTTATAAGACCCCTCCACATCAATACCCCACTGTGGTCTTTACCATTTTCAGAGCTCTCTCAATATCAATTCCTTGACTCCAGGGCACAGCAGGATTTGCTAAGCAGTCTCCAGCACTGCCTCTTCGGGAAACATCCACTCGCTGTCTCCTCAGGTAGCGAAAAGCTTCTGCTATGACCAGTATTGCATCGTGTGTCAATGCAGATGTATACTGAAACAGATGCATGGAAAACAAGATATCATGACAAATGACATTCTCAAAACTTGCCTTGTTCCTTATAATTTTCACTCCTCTCCACCTCTTTTTCTATGAAGTTACCATCCTAATTATTTGAGTCAAGAGATCTCTCTGGGTGAGCCTGACTTTGATTCATTCTGGAATGGTGCTTCTTACCTCATGTATGTATGTGTTATTAAGATGGAATGGCTCAGGGGAATCTCTCTCCGGCTCTCAATATCGTGTTTCACATTGAGTGAGTGACTACTTTGTAGGTGGACAGATGCATGTGAAGTTAAAGGATGGCATCTATAGATTGAAGAGGAAACGGCATATCCGAAAGCAAGACTGGGTTATTGCTGTTTGTGATAGAAAAATTCAGATCTGATGTTTACTTAGGGGAAAATGGAAATAGCTAAGTTAGACAGCTTGAAATTAATTTGGAGGGAAACATTAATCATTTCTGTTTGGACCATGTTTCTACTGAGCTAGGACCTCTAGCCAGCAATAAATCAGTTTTTGTTTCCTGGGGGCTGGGTAGCAAAAACCAAAGCTGGTTTTCAATTGTAGAAAATTGCAATTGTTAGTGAGTTTTAAATCTGATAACATTGACAATTTGTAGGCAATGCTTCATGATGTTACCTCTTTCAGGTCAAAACACTTATTTCCTATTCCTTGGATATATTGATATGCTCTGCTAGGAATGAGGCCAGTCACTTAATATAGGAGATATGATTATCTGCAATTTGAAATGGTGAATTCTTTTTCACCAAACTAATCAACATAGTCTGATTAAGGGGCCTATTTTTTAAGGGTGGCAAATACTGGTAGGATATAGAATCTTGGTGAATTATTTTAACGGAGCAAAATGCCCAAAGGTGAGTTCTCTCTTTCTGTCGTATGTCAAAATACAATTGGGAGTGAATATGTTGTTGTCTATACAAATATCAATTTACTTTTCTGACTTTTATCATGTTACTTTTTCTTTGAGAAACAAATCATCAAGTATGACTATAAGAGGGGATGTATGTTCTTTCATGGAGAAAAATCTGTGTTTCTCCTAGGATTGCATAAAGCCAGCATAGCTGGCTTTTTTTTTTCTTTCTGGCCAACTGCATAAATTGTCAGCAATCTTAATGTAGTCCTTCCTAAGACATGCCAAAATAGCTATTTAATTTTCTACTTTATTCAGTTTCTACTTGCCCATGCATGAGAATGCCCCAACTGGAAAAAAAATCCCAAAGTGGAAAGCTTATAAAATATTGTGCAAATGAAGCCCTGGGATTTTAATCTCTAGACAATTTTATTTCCTAATAAAAATATTGTACATAAGTTTTTTTCAATTTTCATTAATGGGTTTCATTTTGACAGATTCATACCTGCACATAATATACTTTGATCCTTTTCACCATCCCCATGTGTTTTTAACTGGCATTTTTGTCTGATTGATTCAGTGAAGGTTCTATAATAACTAGTCCTAAGCAAAACTAATCTGAGAGTTGTAACTATTTGTATAAACATTCCATTTTCTTGAGTTATTTGAAGGGTTTTAATTGAAAACCTGAACATTTTTTTTCTTAGCAGGTTCTAGAATTTTACATTACACATATCAGCTGTTATGTATCAATGGATAATCCAGAACTGAGATAGTCTTAGATCTCTTTTCAACAGGCTTTACAAGGTCAGAGAAGGAATAAATTACCCTGTGGTATCCATTTCATAGTTTTTATACTTGTTCACATTTTTGTGTCTAACACAGTGCCTAATACATTGTATTAAAATATTGAAGACACAAATTTCTTCTATTACCTACTAAATCTGAGGATCACAATGCAGTGTGGACAGGCAGTTTTATGAAAATCTAAATTTAGTGTGAGGATAAATATCAATTTAGTGTATTAAAAACACTTTAATTAGAAAAAATTTCTCACTGGGATTGTGATCATATTTACTGAACCAAAGTAGGACACCTGATCTAATCATGGGGCAGAGTGTTTTAAAAAAAGGACCATCCTGGATAAATCTGGCATGTATAATCGCTGCAACCACAGGGTAAACAGTTAACTAGTGAGTGATGTAACTGAATTTAAAAATTATGCTTAACTCACAACTTGTCTAAACCAGTTGTATAAAGTGCAGTCTCACGATGTGACTCATTTAGGGTGGACCTGTATAGATAGTACAGAATGTATCTCCTTTGTGGTCTGTGTTCCCTACGGTTCTTCCCGTTTCTATTCTTGCCAGGGAGGAAGGATGTGAAAATGAGTATCTTGAAACCATGAGAAATGAGATCTTTCTTTTGTTAAGAGAGAGTTTGACTCTATTTGATCTCTCAACTTGTATCATATCCGTGGTGCATACTTTTATTGTAGCAGGAAGGAAGAATTTAAAGTCAGTTGTTTCATGCTTGAATCAATGCACTGAGGGAACAAGTTACTTAAAAATACATTTGAGAGATCCTTTGTGTAACATGAAAAATTTCCCTCTAATTTATCTGTTTTAATTCCTAAGTTTTAAATAATAGAATTTCTAGCCATAGGGGAGGATGTATGAAAGATGTGCATTATAAACATGACTTTCTGCTTTTAATATTCTTATCTTGATTTTGTGAAAATGAGCAACTTAAGTAAACTAATTATTTTACAGATACTTTTGCAGTATGCAGGAAAACATTTCTGATATATATACATATATATATATCTCACATCCTCTACATTAGAGCCTAATTCACTTGGGTATTCTGAGATGCATGGAACTTATTAACACAAAGCAATCACATAAATAATGTAAAATCTAATTTTCTTTTTCAGACTTTCAATCTTCCTTACCTATTCCCACTGCCTCCACCCTTTGCCTGGCTCAGGTTCTTTAATACTATAGATTATTATTAACATATTACAAATGAAATTCATTTCAAAATTTAAGTCAACTCATTCCTGAACACTAGATCTTAAAGATCTCATTCTGGGTTGTTCAGATGTCAAATGCAATAGCATCATCTGCTGTTGTTTTCATTTAGCCTCTTTAAATCAGTTCTGAGGAAAACCTCATGATCACAGGATGATCATTAGTATGTAGAGGCCATACAAAAATGCTTTGAAAAGCCTGCCTTAGGGTTGTACATGCCATGGAACCTTACCTTTAGTGGTGCGTTTTTGGCTTCAGGGAATTCCCTTTCATCCAGCCTCACCCAGCGTTGTATGAACTGTTGAACCATAGGGTTTTCGTTGTTGACAATCTGGAAACCTGTAACGTTGGCTCCCCCATGCATGACTCTTTCCAGTAAAATGTCGGTAAAACCCTGAAAAGACATTTAAAGGGAATGATGATTGTAGAAGATCATATATTCTTATGCACTGTACTTGTTAGAGTGCTAAAGATGAGATAAATTTCCTTTCCTAGGATCGTTTATTAGCAATCAAAAAAGCCTTGGATTTGATGGAGCGAATATACATTCTTCCATTTTAGTGCTTGGGGCTTTATTTAGTGTAGCTGTTGCATGGACAAACATAAGTGCCAACTTCAAGCAAACATTTTGTTTCATTTACCTCATATTCAGTCTTTATTGAGTACAAATATAATGCTTTGTGTAACTGGAAAATGTTGAAGAGTTTAACCCTAATGAAGACTATAAAAATCTTCTCTTCAGCTTAACATGCCAAACACAGCAAATCGAGTAATATTGTAGTGATGAATACTTTAGATGTTTGTGATTCACAGAAATACCAATGAGCAAAACTGACAGCTTGGTTGTATATAATGGTACAAAACCCAGGGTATGTCTCACATGTGTCCATAAATGAGTCTTAACATCTGCATAGTATCTCTCATTTTCTTCTTAACTTGCTCTGGTTACCATTGGGTGTCTTGGCCACCTAAGTCTCTTGAAGTAGTCTCCCCAGGGTTCACACTTAAGCCATCTCCACCTGGCTATTGCCAGCTCCACCTGGTATTACTGTCTTCTGGGACACTTCACCCTGTCTCTTGCTCATTGATGCAAATGCATGAGGATACTCAATGGGCTGAAGCCAGCTTTCTGTTTGTACAGAAATGAGAAGAATTTTGTCTCCTTTGTTTAGATTTTAGATTCCTTTCACTATTTTTATATAAAAACTTCAAATATAAATAAAATTTGAAAGAAATGTACATGAACACTGTTATGGCTTGTATCTAGATGTCCCCTCAAAGCCTCATGCGGTCATAGATAGGGCTTTTTGGAGGTATCTGGATCTAGAGTGTGTGCTGTAGGGATTAAGGATGTGATGCTGGGATTGATTCATGGTGTGATGCTAGGATTAAGGGTGCCTCACCTGGGTGTGGATGCTAGCTGCTCAAAGGACCAGTAGCCTGGAGAGAATATAAGGGACAGGAAGAGGGCTGCTGTTGTTGCTTGCTGCTGCTGCTGCTTATTTGCTACTTTGCTACCTTCTGCCTGCCATGGACTGTTTCTCCTCTGTGACACCCCTCTGCCATGCCAGCCTGCCTTGGAGCCAGCCAACTATGCACTGCTACTTCTGCAAACTGTGAGCTACAATATATTTTTCCTCCTCTAGCTTTGGGTGCTGGGTATTTTGTCTCAGAAACAAGAAAAGTAAGGCAAACACTCATATAGTCACTACTCAGGTTCTACTATGAATATTTCCCTATCAATCCATCATAAAATTTCATTTTTGGAGTGCATTTCAAAGTAAGTTGCAGACATTAGTATACTTTAACCCTAACAACTTCATCACATATACCACTAACTAGCACAAACTTTGTTAGTGCACAGTTCTTTTTTTTTCTTCTTTTCTTTTTGAGGCAAACTGTATATCCAATGAAATATAAACATTTTAAATAAACCCCTCAGTGAATTTTGATAAATGTATATACTTGTATTTTCCAAATCTTTATCAATTCTTTAAAATTGTTTTTATTCTAAACGTATTTTATTGAAGTACAAAAATCATATAGAAGACTGTACAATAATTTGATGATTATTTACAAACTGAACCAGTGAATGTAACCGATATGCAGAAGCTTCTCTTGTGTGCCTCTCCCATAGCCACTCCCCTGGTTTCTTTAATTTTATATTTTGTTAACATGAATAAGAAGATGGCCTAAGAAAATATTTTAATTAAATAGCTTTTTCAGCTATTATTTATAACACTTTTCCTCTTCCTCTCATAAGTGGCTTATGACTCAAAGGAGATTGGTCAAGGAGCCAATAGTTTAATTTGAAACACAGAATTATTTCTCTTTTATGATAACCACAAAGTGTTTTAAAAATAAATATTGATTTGTTATGATCTGTTTTCTCCTTCATAAGAGAAACTAAGATGCAGTGTTTTCTCCCACTAGTTACCTCTATACTAAAATAATCTGAGTAGCTAGCTTGTGTATATAAAAGTCTAGCAGTGGGTACTATTGGAATTTAACTCTGTTACTCAACTCCCCATTCCACAAGTATAAATAAAAGTAAAAAATAGAGTTTTCTTCATTAAATCATTACTGTATCAAACCATATTCGGTGGTTAACAAATACTACACAAGAATATTGATCAAGTTCCCTTTGCCTGATGTTATGTGTGAAGGTTAGGTTCTCTGGTGCTTGACTTGACTTTAAAAGCCTAGGATGAATAACTGGAGCCCCCTTCCTTAAGAAAAAGGGTCTGAGAATGCTTCTGTCACCAACCTGGCCCCTGGGGCCAATGATGACAAGAAGCACTACATTAGCAGTATTTTTCATGTCGATAAGAATCACACTTCTCTTTGCTTTCAACCTCTGAAAAGTTAAAATGACAATAGAATTAACTAAAGAGAAAGAGGGAGAAAGGGTTTCTGAACTCTCAATTCTGCCTTAAGCCCTAGGAGCCAGATTTTTCTCTCAGTCACTTCTATTGACTCCCAGGAAGCTTCCCCTCATTACATCAACATCACATATTCCTACTTTGGTGTTTTCTTCTCAAATATAAGATAAACATATTATAGTTTGAAAACACCTTTTTAGGCACACTTATCTCTCTACCACACTTCAATGATGGCACTGAAGATCTTGAAGTTTCTCAATCAACTTGTGTTTTTTAAAAATTTTATTTTATTGGTACATTTTAGGTATACAATATAATGACATTCAGCATTGGAAATTTGCACCTTTACATAATCTCTCTTGGTTCTTATTTTTCCCCCTTCCCCTGCCCTCCCTTCAACCCCTCCATCCTT